GCCCCCCCCTCCGCCAGGGGTCTCCTTCTGGACGAGGTAACCAGCCGCAGTCTTCCGGGAGCTTCCCCCCAACTTCTGGGTTCGTAAGTACATTTGTAAAACTCGTTTTCATGTTGTTAATGCAGATATAGACGAGTGCGCCCAAGGCCTCGACAACTGCAAGCAGAAAGGAGGGGATTGTGTGAACACTCCTGGCAGTTTTACTTGTGGGTGTGGCCCGTATCGGCAAGAAAAAGACGGAAGATGTGTCGGTGAGGCTATTACTTCCTGGCCATCTTTTTCTCATATCTCTGCTCGTTGTGTCTCACCTTTGTCGTCTTCTTCCTGCCAGCACTCCCTCTCTTGCAGGCGCAACGGAGCAAGCTGCACCTGCTAGTCCCACAGATGAACCGCCTCGTACTTGTGCAACCTACACAGCTGTTTCCTTCCTGCCGTTTGTACTTTGCCTGCCTGCAATTCGGTTCTCATTTCATGCAGCAGCTGCGTTCTCAGTTTCTGGTTGCCTCCAGATCCTCCGAACAACGAACCAGCACCCGCGCATGTGCGTACATCTGCGCGAAAGGATAGGCTTCATCTGTTCCGGAGGCACTTTGGATGTGTGCGTTTTCCACCTATTCAGACATAAACGAATGCGCAACAAATAGAGGAGACTGCGATGAAAATAGTGACTGCATTAATGTCGATGGAGCTCAACAGTTGTGCAAGTGCCATAAAGGCTGGACGGGTAACGGCGACAAACCCGGGGTTGCATGCAGAGGTGAACACTGAATGTCATGTAATTGGAGCACAAGCAGATATAGCGCCTCAGTGGAGCTTGCGCCCCAAGTGTTCCTGGTCTTCGCTAGACCTGCATTTTCTTTTGATGGTATTGGGCAACCGTAAAGATGAATATTTTTGCACGTGAGTGTCCGTGAGTGTTGGTACTCCAGATATCAACGAGTGCAACGAGAACCCCGCGATCTGCCCGTCAAATTCAATATGTACGAACCTAGCGGGATCATACAAGTGTGAATGCGGGCCTGGGTTTGAACCTGACTCCACTGGCAGTGGCTGTGTGACTGAGGACTTCTGCGGCACGGGAAAAAACGACTGCGACACAGTCTTCGCCACCTGTTCGCTGGTGCCCGGTTCCTTCAAGTGCGAGTGCATTCAGGGCTTCCGTGGAGTTGGAACAGTGAACACATGCGAGCGTAAGCATACATGCACCTGATACCTTGATTATATATAAATAAATAAATAAATAAATATATATATATATATATATATATA